TAACACCAGATGTTGTTTTAACACCAGATGTTGTTTTTACACCAGATGTTGTTTTAACACCAGATGTTGTTTTTACACCAGATGTTGTTTTTAACACCAGATGTTGTTTTTACACCACATGTTGTTTTAACACCAGATGTTGTCCCTGATCAACCACAGACACTGAGCTACCACAGCTGTGTGGAGCAGAGCTGCATCCAGGGTGGTGGGTGGTTAAGGCCTTGCTCAAGGGCCCAGTGTGGTGCAAATGAGGGTGGAGGCAGGTGTGGGTGCTTCACCTATCCCACCCTTATTTTTTGACATTGTTGCTTTGGGGAGTTGAACCGGCGACCTTACGATCACAGGCCCACCTTGATCTTTTATTAACGATCTTAATCTTATTGGTCCAATTTAAAACAAGCCTGTTAAAACTTTTAATGACCGTCCTCGTGTTGTAGGAGCTCCACGGTTCGGTTCCGTGTGTCGGCCTACAACACTTCAAATACGGTTCTGAGGCCGAAACGTTCCAGTCAGACGCACTTCCTGGTCCGCGGCAGCCACCTGTCCGGTGCAGGTGAGCGGCTCTTCTTACCTTTACACTGGACGGACTGGTTCACTTTGACCCTCACGGTCCCGGAGATGGACTCCCCCGGAGCGTACACCACTTTATTTTTGTCGAACTCGATCTCAAACTCCTGCAGCTTCCCCATCGTGGTCCCCAGTAAAACCACCGCGCACCTGGATCCTCACAAACAACCGCGAGCACGTCTTTACCGCTGTTTGTCCCCGCCCCTTTAATGACGTCACCAGCATCTCCAAGACAATGTGGAGCCAGGTGGTGAAAGTTACATATCTTGGTATTTATATTCTGAAAGAAGAGGACCGAAGTGAAACTTCAATCCTGTTGTTACTGTAATCCAAAAGAAATGAAATGTTTGGGTCCAGAGATGAATCCATCTCCGGTCCTGGTGTATGTGAGCTCTGACCTTCAGGTTTCCAGGACATCATTTCAAAAGTGGACAAAACTTTATTTGATTTTATTTGGAAGAAAAAGGTTAATCTAATCTAAATAATCCGTGGGTTTAATGTACCAGATTTACAGACTCTAAACTCTTCCTTTAAAATCAAGTGGATCAAAAGAGATCTCCTAAATCCAAATTCTTTATGGAACTTTATTTGAACACACGTATTTGAAGCACTGAGTGCTTTATCTTTTATTTTAAGGTGTAACTGTAGCACTGCGGGCAGCACGGTGGCGCAGCTGGTAGAGCTGGTCCCTGGTTCAAACCCCGGTCCAGGGGCCTTTCTGGGTGGAGTTTGCATGTTCTCTCCGTGCATGCGTGGGTTTTCTCCGGGTACTCCGGTTTCCTCCCACAGACCAAAAACATGCATGTTAGGCTGATTGGTAACTCTAAATTGTCCCTAGGTGTGAGAGAGAGAGTGAATGGTTGTTTGTCTCGTTTGTCTCTATGTGTCCCTGTGATGGACTGGAGACCCGTCCAGGGTGTCCCCCGCCCCTCGCACAGTGATTGCTGGACATGGGCACCAGCGACCCCCGTGACCCAAAATGGAATAAGCGGGTAAAGATAATGGATGGATGTAGCATTGGGAACATCCCAGTCAAACTCTCCAGTTTCCACAAACAGCTGCTGGTCTTTGGTTCACAAACACAATTTCTCCCCACACAAATATTATATCAGGAATAACAAAGACATCTGTTTTAAACACAAATCTGTTTTTTAATGTTTTGACATCGTTCATCAGTTCTTCAACAAAGAGGCAACATTTATTCTTATAGTGAATTTTAAAATACGTATAATTCTCCAGTGCTGCCGAGAGAATTTTGCAATTGTGTTTGACGCCGTTCCATCTGGTGTGAAAATACTGATGTCAAACTCTGTACAAATCAGTACTAAGTATTTAACTGAAGAATTATTCACTGGCAACTCTGACTCATTTTTAAGCGAAAAAACAAATAACAAATGTATTAGAGAATGAATAATTAGAGACTGTATCAGTAAACCTGCTTCTGTATTCTTCTGGGATATTCATTTAATGACATTTGTTGGAAAAATGTTTGGTTGTTGCCTAGAAAATACTTTGTATTTCATAACTAATAAGATTCAAGAAGTGTCTCTAAAGATTCTGCATAAATGCTGTCCTGTCAGTCGTATAATGTCCAGGCACCGTCCGAATGTAGATCCAGTGTGTTCTCTGTGCCACAGCTCTGAGGAGACGTCATCTTGTCTGGGACTGTCCTCACACTCAGCTGTTCTGGAAAGTGAACAGAAAGTTAGAAAGTGACCTACCATTTGACACAAACTGTACTGTTGGGTTCTTCTGTTTGAATATTCCAAGTAAAAAGTTTTTGTTGTAAATTTAATACTAATTTTAGCCAAATGTCACATCCACAGCTGTAAATTTTCCATGCTCAAATCTAGATTTATAGTTTTTTCTACTTATCTTTCTTCGTATGTGTCTACTTTAAAGTATTGTACCAATGCAAAAGCCATAAAAACTAAAACACTCTGTAACAATTTCTATTGTAAACTGCCCAAATCATAATCTCATGTTATTATTTGTCTATATTTCTTTTTTGTTGTTACGCCTGCCTTAAGTCTCGAGCCATGTTTGCCATTGCGGGATTTTGTTGCATTAGTTTTGTATTAATAAATTAAATTTTTTTAAAAAGCCAGGTGGTGATCGCACACCAGTTCATCCTACAATCTTTATTTGGCTTTGGCAACTACTTTTCCTCTGCTATAAAGACACTTTATAAGAACAGCAATAGCTCTATTAAACTGCCAGGTGGCACTCCCCCAGATTCAATCTCTCCAATGGAATAAGACAGGGCTGCCCTGCTCCTCCAGAACTCTTTTTGCTACTGGCACAACTTATGGCATCTCATATTCAAACCAGAGCTGTAGAAGACATGTCTCTCCTCGGTAACAAGCTCAAACACAACTCGCAGATGACACAACACTTTTTTGAGAAAAGAAAGCCACGTTTCTGCAGCAATCAGTACAGTTCAGGAGTTCTCAAGGGCATCTGGTTTATCCCTCAATATTAAGAAATGTGAGATGTTGCCTATTAAAACTGTACTAAATCTGAGCTGTGTAACATCCCTGTGACAGAGGAAGTGTGTTACCTAGTTGTCTTAGTAACAAAAGATCAAAAAAGAAGGAGCACCTCCAACTTTAACCCAGTCATACACAAAATAAATTAAATCAATGGCTCCTGCAAGATTAATCTTTGAAAGGAAGAATTTTGCTCACGAAAGCAGAAGGTATCTCAAGGTTAGCTTTGACTCTACAACTCAACAATGACACATTCAGGTAATTGATAAAATGCTCTTTGACTTTGTATGGGAAAATAGAACCCACTATCTGAAGAAGTGAGTTATTAGGATTTTGTATGAGAATGGTGGTCTTAATGTTCTGGACTTTGATACGTTAAATAACACATTTAAAATCCATCCATCCATTTTCTTCCGCTTATCCGGGGTCGGGTCGCGGTGGTAGCAGCCTAAGTAGGGAGGCCCAGACTTCCCTCTCCACAGCCATTTGGTCCAGCTCTTCCGGGGGAATCCCGAGGCGTTCCCAGGCCAGCCGAGAAACATAGTCCCTCCAGCGTGTCCTGGGTCTTCCTCTGGACCTCCTCCCAGTGGGACGTGTCCGGAACACCTCACCAGGGAGGCATCCAGGAGGCATCCTAAACAGATGCCCAAGCCACCTCAACTGGCTCCTCTCGACATGGAGAAGCAGCGGCTCTACTCTGAGTCCCTCCCGGATGATTGAGCTTCTCACCCTGTCTCTAAGGGAGAGCCCAGACACCCTGTGGAGAAAATTCATTTCGGCCGCTTGTATCCGAGATCTCATTCTTTCGGTCACAACCCAAAGCTCGTGACCATAGATGAGGGTAGGAACGTAGATCGATCGGTAAATTTAGAGCTTCGCCTTTTGACTCAGCTCTCTCTTCACCACGACAGACCTGTACAGCGCCTGCTTCACTGCAGACGCTGCACCTATCCGCCTATCGATCTCACGCTCCATTTTTCCCTTTGGACTTGGAGAAGGCATTCGACCGCGTCCCTCGGGGAACCCTGTGGGGGGTACTCTGGGAGTATGGGGTACCGAGCTCTTTGATATGGGCTGTTAGGTCCCTGTATGACCGTGTCAGAGCCTGGTCTGCATCGCTGGCAGTAAGTCGGACTTGTTCCCGGTGAGAATTGGACTCCACCAAGGTTGCCCTTTGTCACCGATTCTGTTCATAACTTTTATGGACAGAATTTCTAGGTGCAGCCAAGGTGTTGAGGGGATCTGTTTTGGTGGCCTTAGGATTGCGTCCCTGCTTTTTGCAGATGATGTGGTCCTATTGGCTTCATCAGGTCGTGATCTACAGATTTCGCTGGAGCTGTTCGCAGCCGAATGCGACGCGGCCGGGATGAAGATCAGTTCCTCCAAATCCAAGGCCATGGTCTTGAGCTGCAAAAGGGTAGAGTCCCCTCTCCGGGTCAGGGAGGAGGTCCTACCCCAAGTGGAGGAGTTCAAGTATCTTGGGGTCTTGTTCACAAATGAGGGAAAAATGGACATTTAAAATCAATTGGATAAAACACATCTTCAAAAATCCAACTTCAATTTGGAACGATATTCCTCTCCATATAAACTTGGTGGCACTGACTTTTATATAATCTGTAATTATGACATTCACAAGATTTGTGTTAAGTTAACATCATTTTATCATCAGGACTCATGCTCTGTCATATCCAAACATGATTCTTCAACTCACAACTAACGCAGCTCATCTGTGATGACAAATGGGTTCTGAATGAACCTGGTGACCTGCTGTCCAGCACTAAACCTATCAGGACCATTGCTCCCCTGTCAGAACCATTGCTCCCTGTCAGGAATATTGCTCCACTGTCAAAACCATTGCCCCCTGTTAGGACCATTTGCTCCCTGTCAGAACCATTGCTCCCTGTCAGAAACATTGCCCTCTGTCAGAACCATTGCTCCCTGTCAGAACCATTGCTCTCTGTCAGAACCATTGCTGCCTATCAGAAACATTGCTCCCTGTCAGAACCATTGCTCTCTGTCAGAACCATTGCGCTCCTGCTCTCCATTGCTCTCCTGTCAGAACCATTGTTCCCTGTCAGAACCATTGCTCCCTGTCAGAACCACTGCTCTCGGTCAGAACCATTGCTCTCCCTTCAGAACCATTGTTCCCTGTCACAACCATTGCTCCCAGTCAAAACCATTGATCTCTGTCAGAACCATTGCTCCCTGTCAGAACCATTGCTCTCTGTCAGAAACATTGCTCCCTGTCAGAAACATTGCTCCCAGTCAGAAACCATTGCTCCCTGTCAGAACCATTGCTCCCTGTCAGAACCATTGCACCC